CTTGCACTTCTCTAACACGCCACTCGCATTGCTACCGCTCGCCGCCATCTTTGTTTTGTGTGTGACGCACCGACGCGCATATTATACGTCGGTGTATTTTTTGCGTCGACGTCACCGATTTTACGTCGACGCGTTGTCCCAGCCCTAATATGTACTAAACCAGATGTACTATGTGTACTATCCATATGTACTTATCCTATGTAATTGTGTAATATTCCATCATAGTACTATACCATATGTACTATGTGTACTATACCACATGTACTATGTGTACTATACCATATGTACTATGTGTACTATTCCATATATACTATACCATATGTACTATGTGTACTATACCACATGTACTATGTGTACTATACCTATGTATTGTGTACTATACCATATGTACTATGTGTACTATACCATATGTAACTAAAGTGTACAATATGTACAAACATATGTACTATGTGTACTATACCTATGTACTATACCATATGTTTACTTATACCAATGTACTATAGACATATGTACTATGTGTACTATACCATAGGTACTATGTGTACTTAACAGAGAACGAATACCATATGTACTATACCATATTCTATGTGTATCTATACCATATGTACTATACCACATGTACTATGTTACTACTATACCATATGTACTATGTGTACTATATCCATATGTACTATTGTACTATCCACATGTACTATTGTATACATACCATATGTACTATGTGTACTATACCATATGTAAATCATGTGTACTTACCACATGTACCATATGGTATATGTACTATACCATATGTACTATACCATATATTCCATATGTACTATACCATATGTACTATAACATATGTACTATGTGTACTATACCATATGTACTATGTGTACTATACCATATGTACTATGTGTCCTATACCATATGTACTATACCATATGTACTATGTGTACTATACCATATGTACTATGTGTCCTATACCATATGTACTATACCATATGTACTATGTGTACTATACCATATGTACTATGTGTACTATACCATATGTACTATACCATATGTACTATACCGTATGTACTATGTGTACAATACCACATGTACTATGTGTACTATACCATATGTACTATGTGTACAATACCACATGTACTATGTGTACTATACCATATGTACTATGTGTACTATACCATATGTACTATGTGTACTATACAATATGTACTATGTGTACTATACCACATGTACTATGTGTACTATACCATATGTACTATGTGTACTATACCATATGTACTATGTGTACTATACCATATGTACTATGTGTACTATACCATATGTAATATACCATATGTACTATACCATATGTACTATGTGTACTATACCATATGTACTATACCATATGTACTATGTGTACTATACCATATGTACTATACCATATGTACCATGTGTACTATACCATATGTACTATACCATATGTACTATGTGTACTATACCATATGTACTATGTGTACTATACAATATGTACTATGTGTACTATACCATATGTACTATGTGTACTATACCATTTGTACTATACCATATGTACTATGTGTACTATACCACATGTACTATGTGTACTATACCATATGTACTATGTGTACTATACCATATGTACTATGTGTACTATACCATACACATGCCTCTATGCAATCCATGCAATGCTGCCTCTATGCAATGCTGCCTCCATGCAATGCTGCCTCTATGCAATCTATGCAATGCTGCCTCCATGCAATGCTGCCTCCATGCAATGCTGCCTCTATGCAATGCTGCCTCCATGCAATCTATGCAATGCTGCCTCTATGCAATGCTGCCTCTATGCAATGCTGCCTCCATGCAATCTATGCAATGCTGTAAATCATTTTAATGTAAAAAAAAAAAAAAAAAAAAAAAAATTTATTGTGCCAATAAATGAAGAAAAAGTAGATAAAATCATCGGTAAACTAAACAACAGTAAAGCAAAAGATTTTTACGGATTGGATTGTACGTTCTTAAAAGAACACAGGGATGTACTTAAAATGACCATTTCTAAATCCATAAACCAGTCAATAGAAGACAGTGTCTTTCCCTGTGCACTTAAAATTGGAATAATCACACCTGTGTTTAAGTCGGGGGATAGACGGCAGGTATCCAACTACCGCCCCATATGTATTCTGCCATCTATCTCAAAAATTTATGAAAAAGCGGTAGCAGAGCAGCTTATAGAACACTTGGGCTCATACTCACTCCTGAACCCAATGCAATTTGGATTCAGGAGTGGGTACTCAACAGAAACTGCCTGCTGCTTTCTAATTGAAGAAATCAAATCCAGACTGGACCATGGCGGGGTTGTGGGAGCAGTCTTCCTTGACCTCCGCAAGGCTTTTGACACTGTCAATCACAGCATTCTCTTAGGAAAATTATCAAATTATAATCTATCCAAACAAACAATAAACTGGATCAGGTCGTACCTAAGTGGCAGACAGCAATGTGTGAGAGTAAAAAACACCTTGTCTCCACTGGAAGAATACACCACGGGAGTGCCGCAGGGCTCCATTCTGGGGCCACTGTTATTCAGTTTGTACATTAATGACCTCCCCTCAGTCTCCGCTGCGAGCACCATTATGTATGCCGATGATACAGTAGTCTTCGTCCATGGGAAAAACGAAAATGAGGTCACAAAAGAACTGACCATCCAAATTCAGAGAGTGGCTGACTGGCTGTTTCAAAATTGTCTAACACTGAATACGGAGAAAACAGTCTCTATATATTTCACAAATCGAACTAAACACCTAAATTACCCAACAATTAAAATAAACGGAAATAATATCAAAAATGTTGAAAAATATACCTACTTGGGCGTCAGCCTTGACTCCACCCTAACTTTTAAAAGTCATTTTAAAAAACTTCAAAACAGTCTAAACTTTACTTTGGCCAACTTCAGACACATCAGAGGGTCCCTCACAGTCGAGGCCTCCCACATGTTTCTGAACGCTATGATTCTGCCACACTTCATGTACTGTATGTCCAGTTGGTCCCAGGGCTCCAAATCTGCTCTGGGTCCTCTTCAATCAATATACAAACGTGCACTAAAAATACATGACAGGAAACCCAAACAATACCATCACTGCCCAATCTTAACAAAATACAACATTCTTAACCTCGAAAATCAATTCTTTTATAATAATGTGTGTCTACTTTTTAAAGTTATAAATGGTCTTATTGCCCCACCCCTTAGGAAATATGTGACCCTGTGCTCTGAAAAAATGACCCGTGCCACTCGATCTACAGCACGAGGAGAGTGCAGCGTCCCAACATATAGGACCTCTTTCAGAAAGTCAGCCTTCTCCGTCACTGCAGCGACTCAGTGGAACTCACTCCCAACTCACATCATCACTTGCACTGATCTAAAACTATTCACACGCCTGACAAGAGCATGGCTCCTGGAGAGGCAGATCTGTTCCCATGTGTGATGAGTGTCTGCGTAGGTGTGTATGTGTGTATGTGTGTGTGTGTGTGTGTGTGTGTGTGTGTGTGTGTGTGTGTGTGTGTGTGTGTGTGTGCATGAGAGAGAGAGATAGAGTGCAGGTTGAGTGTAGGTTCGTATGAAAACAAAGAATGGGGGCTGGGTGGTTTTATTATATTCTACTATCTAATTTGTGATTAATTAAATTGTAAGGTATGTCTGATAATGTATGGTAATGTATCCATCTACTCTTTATTTTACTGTCTCACAACAACCTGCCCAGGGACTACAGGTGTAAATTAGCACTGCTGCAACAACCTGGTACAAAGCATCTCTCCTTTTGGCTAATGTTTACTGTACACTGTCCCTGTAAAAATAAAAACCATACCATACCATACCATACCATATGTAATATACCATATGTACTATACCATATGTACTATGTGTACTATACCATATGTACTATACCATATGTACTATGCGTACTATACCATATGTACTATACCATATGTACTATGTGTACTATACCATATGTACTATGTGTACTATACCATATGTACTATGTGTACTATACCATATGTAATATACCATATGTACTATACCATATGTACTATGTGTACTATACCATATGTACTATACCATATGTACTATGCGTACTATACCATATGTACTATGTGTACTATACCATATGTACTATACCATATGTACTATGTGTACTATACCATATGTACTATGTGTACTATACAATATGTACTATGTGTACTATACCATATGTACTATACCATATGTACTATGTGTACTATACCATATGTACTATGTGTACTATACCATATGTACTATACCATATGTACTATGTGTACTATACCATATGTACTATGTGTACTATACCATATGTACTATGTGTACTATACCATATGTACTATGTGTACTATACCATATGTACTATGTGTACTATACCATATGTACTATGTGTACTATACCATATGTACTATGTGTACTATACCATATGTACTATACCATATGTACTATGTGTACTATACCATATGTACTATGTGTACTATACCATATGTACTATGTGTACTATACCATATGTACTATACCATATGTACTATGTGTACTATACCATATGTACTATGTGTACTATACCATATGTACTATGTGTACTATACCATATGTACTATGTGTAATATACCATATGTACCATGTGTGAAGTGTAAACTGTTAAACATAATAAAATCAGAGTTTATTTGAATCTGAAACTTTCTGACTTTCTCCAAAAGGAAATATTTAGTTATATTTAATTTATTCTACTGCTGCCTCAGGAGATGTGTTCACTGCTTTGGCATCTGTCTCCCCCATCCTCCCCCATCCTCCCCCATCCTCCTCTGACCCTGAGCACCTTTCCTCATAATACTTTGCAGCAGAGACAACAGTTCTGAGTGTGTGTGTGTGCGTGTGCGTGTGCGTGCGTGTGAGCGTGTGCGTGTGCGTGTGTGTGTGCGTGTGTGTGTGTGTGTATTGACAGACTGGTGACATCACACACAGGTTATAGTTCTTCAGGTGAATACATTTCTGGCTCTGTCCCTGTGACCCCTGTCCCTGTGACCCCTGTCCCTTTGACCCCTGTCCCTGTGACCCCTGTCCCAGTGACCCCTGTCCCTGTGACCCCGTCCCTGTGACCCCTGTCCCTGTGCTGCGTCCTGAGGATTAAAGGGTCAGAGCTGCTGTCATCAGCTCTTTCTGCAGTAAGAGGTTTATGGTCCTCAGGATCATCATGGTCTCATTGGACTGGCCTCCTGCTGGGACTCTGAGGAGCACAGGGACTGGCCTCCTGCTGGGCCTCTGAGGAGCACAGGGACTGGCCTCCTGCTGGGCCTCTGAGGAGCACAGGGACTGGCCTCCTGCTGGGACTCTGAGGAGCACAGGGACTGGGCTCCTGCTGGGACTCTGAGGAGCACAGGGACTGGCCTCCTGATGGGACTCTGAGGAGCACAGGGACTGGCCTCCTGATGGGACTCTGAGGAGCACAGGGACTGGCCTCCTGCTGGGACTCTGAGGAGCACAGGGACTGGCCTCCTGATGGGACTCTGAGGAGCACAGGGACTGGACTCCTGCTGGGACTCTGAGGAGCACAGGGACTGGCCTCCTGCTGGGGCTCTGAGGAGCACAGGGACTGGCCTCCTGCTGGGACTCTGAGGAGCACAGGGACTGGCCTCCTGCTGGGACTCTGAGGAGCACAGGGACTGGCCTCCTGCTGGGACTCTGAGGAGCACAGGGACTGGACTCCTGCTGGGACTCTGAGGAGCACAGGGACTGGACTCCTGCTGGGACTCTGAGGAGCACAGGGACTGGACTCCTGCTGGGACTCTGAGGAGCACAGGGACTGGGCGGTGTAAACAAAAGGATGTGATTATTAATGTTTCTTTCTGTGTTTTACAAATAACCTCTGATCCTCTGTCACAGCGGGACGCTGACATTTCCTGTTTGTGTTACTGCCTCATATCTGCACCAGAGACACCAGACTTGGGTCTACGGCCTCAGTCCTGGGTCTACGGCCTCAGTCCTGGGTCTACGGCCTCAGTCCTGGGTCTACAGTCTCAGTCCTGGGTCTACAGCCTCAGTCCTGGGTCTACAGCCTCAGTCCTGGGTCTACAGTCTCAGTCCTGGGTCTACAGCCTCAGTCCTGGGTCTACAGCCTCAGTCCTGGGTCTACAGCCTCAGTCCTGGGTCTACAGTCTCAGTCCTGGGTCTACAGCCTCAGTCCTGGGTCTACAGTCTCAGTCCTGGGTCTACAGCCTCAGTCCTGGGTCTACAGCCTCAGTCCTGGGTCTACAGTCTCAGTCCTGGGTCTACAGCCTCAGTCCTGGGTCTAGAGCCTCAGTCCTGGGTCTACAGCCTCAGTCCTGGGTCTACAGCCTCAGTCCTGGGTCTACAGCCTCAGTCCTGGGTCTACAGTCTCAGTCCTGGGTCTATAGCCTCAGTCCTGGGTCTATAGCCTCAGTCCTGGGTCTACAGCCTCAGTCCTGGGTCTACAGCCTCAGTCCTGGGTCTACAGCCTCAGTCCTGGGTTGTTGTAGTCTGCATATTGATGCGACTACAGTGACCCCGCTGCACAGAGAGTCTCTGTTCAGGACAGAGGAACGTCACGCCCCCAGCTCTGAGTGACGCAGAAAGTGGGACTGAGACCTGGACTCTGAGGACCATGTGAGGGACCATGAGAGCCACTATAGGAGAGGGAAGGAGAGAGACCACAGAGAGACCACAGTGAGACCAGACAGAGAGAGCACAGTGAAGGAGAAAGACCTACTCTACTCTCCCTGTGTGACCAGTACCAGGTCCTTCTTTAGTCACTCCTCTTGTGCCTCAGACTCACTCTGGTCCTCCTCCTCTTGTGCCTCAGACTCACTCTGGTCCTCCTCCTCTTGTGCCTCAGACTCACTCTGGTCCTCCTCCAGGTCAGAGCTGTGCCACATAATTAAACTCTCCTCCCTCAGTCCTCCTTTTATGAAGCGCCTCTGTGGAATGTTCACAACAACAGCAGAGAAACCCCCCCAGAGGAGCCGAGAGAGAGACCGAGGGAGAGACTGAGAGAGACTGAGAGAGAGACTGAGAGAGAGACTGAGAGAGAGACTGAGAGACAGAGAGAGAGACTGAGGGGAGAGACTGAGGGGAGAGACTGAGGGGAGAGACTGAGGGAGAGACAGAGAGAGAGACAGAGAGAGAGACTGAGGAGAGAGACTGAGGGGAGAGACTGAGGGAGAGACAGAGAGAGAGACTGAGGAGAGAGACTGAGGGGAGAGACTGAGGGAGAGACAGAGAGAGAGACAGAGAGAGAGACTGAGGGGAGAGACTGAGGGGAGAGACTGAGGGGAGAGACTGAGGGGAGAGACTGAGGAGAGAGACTGAGGGGAGAGACTGAGGGGAGAGACTGAGGGGAGAGGCTGAGGGGAGAGACTGAGGGGAGAGACTGAGGAGAGAGACTGAGGAGAGAGACTGAGGAGAGAGGCTGAGGGGAGAGGCTGAGGGGAGAGACTGAGGAGAGAGACTGAGGGGAGAGACTGAGGGGAGAGGCTGAGGGGAGAGACTGAGGGGAGAAACTGAGGAGAGAGGCTGAGGGGAGAGACTGAGGAGAGAGACTGAGGGGAGAGACTGAGGGGAGAGACTGAGGGGAGAGACTGAGGAGAGAGACTGAGGAGAGAGACTGAGGAGAGAGGCTGAGGGGAGAGGCTGAGGGGAGAGACTGAGGGAGAGACTGAAGTTACAAATCCATGTTTTCACAAATGTCTCGACTGAAAGAGTCCTGTATTCAAAGTTCATTCAAATCACCACCTGCCGCTCCCTGGGACAGTCCTGGGTCTACAGCCTCAGTCCTGGGTCTACAGCCTCAGTCCTGGGTTCACAGCCTCAGTCCTGGGTTCACAGCCTCAGTCCTGGGTTCACAGCCTCAGTCCTGGGTCTACGGCCTCAGTCCTGGGTCTACAGCCTCAGTCCTGGGTTCACAGCCTCAGTCCTGGGTCTACAGCCTCAGTCCTGGGTTCACAGCCTCAGTCCTGGGTTCACAGCCTCAGTCCTGGGTCTACAGCCTCAGTCCTGGGTTCACAGCCTCAGTCCTGGGTCTACGGCCTCAGTCCTGGGTCTACAGCCTCAGTCCTGGGTTCACAGCCTCAGTCCTGGGTTCACAGTCTCAGTCCTGGGTCTACAGCCTCAGTCCTGGGTCTACAGCCTCAGTCCTGGGTCTACAGCCTCAGTCCTGGGTCTACAGCCTCAGTCCTGGGTCTACGGCCTCAGTCCTGGGTCTACAGCCTCAGTCCTGGGTTCACAGCCTCAGTCCTGGGTTCACAGTCTCAGTCCTGGGTCTACAGCCTCAGTCCTGGGTCTACAGCCTCAGTCCTGGGTCTACAGCCTCAGTCCTGGGTCTACAGCCTCAGTCCTGGGTCTACAGCCTCAGTCCTGGGTCTACAGCCTCAGTCCTGGGTCTACAGCCTCAGTCCTGGGTCTACAGCCTCAGTCCCGGGTTCACAGTCTCAGTCCTGGGTCTACAGCCTCAGTCCTGGGTCTACAGCCTCAGTCCTGGGTCTACAGCCTCAGTCCTGGGTCTACAGCCTCAGTCCTGGGTCTACAGCCTCAGTCCTGGGTCTACAGCCTCAGTCCTGGGTCTACAGCCTCAGTCCTGGGTCTACAGCCTCAGTCCTGGGTCTGACACACTGCTTTAATATTATTATAGATAATATTTACATAATTATTATCCACAGATTTAGAAATACAAGAGTAAACAGTAAGTTTTAAATAGACTTTTCTGGACACTTCACAGATCCTTAATCCAGAGCTGCCCTGGGGCACACTGACAGAAGCGAGGCAACCAGTCTGTGCCATCGGCCCCTCCCACCACCAACCATTCACACACACACCAGACTCATTCTAATGTGGGGGAAGTGTCTTGCCTAAGGACACAACCACAGTTTGGCACTTTACAGCCGCAGTCGCCCCGCTGTGGCTGCTGTTCCCAGAGGTCTCCCATCACAGCACTAACAAGGCCCTGCCCTGCTTAGCTTCCGAGGTCTGACAGGATCTGGCTTTGTCCTGCAGCTAAGTATACAGTGCTTTTTATTAAGATACATATATTTTCAGAGATTGAATGTTACTGTTTTAAACACAGAGTTTCGTCTTCACTGTGCGCCCCTCAGACTGTTCTGTAACGTGTGATGCAACACTGACATTTCCCGCTGTGGGACCAGTGAATACTCTTCCGACACACATGGTCACGGCACCATGAGCAGAGCGTGTTGGGACAGGACGCAGGAGTCTTGCACGATGTGGAACTTTCTCACAGTCCGGAGCTGACAGGGATCAGTCTAAATCCTGGATTAGATTCTGAGCCACTGTTTTCTGACCATAAGCTCCAGGAAATGGGTGATTCTCACGAAATCCAGATTTAAAACAATTCCAACTTCAAAATTTTCAAAAGGCATTTGAAGACAAATTTTCTTTTAAGCACTTTAGATGAATGTCTGAACTTACTAAACACATTATTTTTCAACATCGTTTTTGATTTTTTTAGTTGAATTACAGGTATTTTAGATATTGAGTGGCAAAAAAATCTCATTACCGCAACATGAAATCACATCAGATTTATTGTTAAAATAAAAAAAATTGGGAAATTTTAAAAGATGCTAATTAACACTTATGCCAAGAGGAATGTATCAGTCAAGAAAGATTACTTCGTTATATTTATAAATTTGAAAATATTTATAATTTGTCTCATTACCGCAACACACTTAATGATTTACATCTAGTTTTTTTAGGATATTCCTTTGAAAACTGACATAAATATATATTTTTTGTGATTGGGATATAAAAAGTAGTACTACAAATTGTGTCAACACAATTGCTAAAAAAACAAAAAACAAAATAATTATTAAATCATTTGCAAATGAACACGTTACGGTAATGAGAATGGTGTTTCAGAAATGAAATTCAATGTTTCGGAAATGAGATTTAGTGCAACATAGGTTAGAAATGATTCACATTTAACACCCAATGATATTTTAATGGTCAAAAGCATTTCATTTCATCATAGTAGTAGTAACAAAATAATTCATTTATAACAAATAACAGTATTCATTTATTACATAGTAAGGTGGATGACAAATATAGCCTGACTTTCGCCAGACCCATGTAGTTCGCTGCACTTCACACATGAGTCTGGTACTGAGCCATAGTGGTTGGATTTCAGAAGGCAGGGCCTTGTAAAAAAAATCCTTGTATGTGATTGGATAGACCACTTGTCCGTTATCTTGAATAAAGTCTGCTTTCAACCACTCACATCGAAGCACAAGGCTCCCATAGGTTGCCAAATCCCAGCAAGATTTTCCAACCCAAAATCCGCGAGAATACCCACAAAAAAAAACACTCAGAATGATTTTTTGGCTAAAAACTTAATGTAATCAACTTGGACTATCATGATTCTGTTTATTGTCTTTCTGTTTATTTAATACCTACAAGTCTCTCGGAAAAAAATATGCGGGAACCACCAAACCTGGCAACCCTGCTGCGTAGTGTGTAAACAGGAACACTGAACCAGTGCTTCAACCAAACTTTACAGGAACATTTGACTCTGACTCTCTGACACACATATATCAACATAGAACCATCAACATCTTGCCTCTAATTGCATTAAAAGTGACATCCGTGTCTTAATTCGATCGTATTTACTCTTTTAAAAAGATTTGCGGACTTTACGTCCGCCATCTTGGATTCCTCTCTCTGCTGCATGAGAGAAGCTTGAGAAGGCAGTGCAAACCCCACGTAACACCGGCCATCCTGATTGGTCGATTAAAAAATAATCTGGGGAATGCGTTCGCTATGGCGTCGATACCAGACCCATGTGGTTCAGCCAAACGCCTCTGGTGGAGCATGGCGGAACTACAAGGGTCTGGCATAGCCAGGCTATGACAAATAAGCCCTGAAAACTAACCTGGCAAGAGCCAGATTGATGATTGTGTAGAACTCTAACGCGTTCTCCGCGATATCAATCTGGGATTTCTCACGGAGAATCCTTTCGGGGAAAGGAGGGATAAGCAGCAGAATACTTGAAGCTGATTGGGCGAAGTGACGCTGTGTGCCCGCCTACCAAGGTTTGACTTACGTAGGTAAAAATGCACAAACATCTTTGCCGTCCAGAAATGCACAAAGCGCCTCTCGCTGTTCATCTTTCAAAAAAGAAATTGGAGATTCTGCTAAAACTGACTTGATAGCCTCAGCTACGCGTCCGTCCTCCTGCGTAGCCATGTTTGTTTTGCTTCGGCCCGGCACTTCTTGCTTTCGTCAAACCCGGATATCCCGCCCTAAACCCCCAGACTGGCGCTTGATTGGCTCGCACACCCAGTGGTTCGACTCGAAAAGTGTAAGCGGGAGCGGTACAAGATGTATTCTCGAGTGTTTGTGAACTCACAAATACCGCGAGAATTCAGCTTGCAGGCAAGGTTACCTGAAAACACCTTTTTTTTAAATTCTAAACTGCATTAAGGAAATTTAGCAGAAATTAATATTAGTGTAAGAGGTACACATAAGTATCATTTATGGATGGCCCTCAGCAGAGGACCCTGTACTCCCGGAGAATCCCCCAAAGGACACCCCGGGGAACACGGTCGAACGCCTTCTCCAAGTCCACAAAGCACATGTGGACAGGTTGGGGCGAACTCCCATAAACTCTCGAGTATCCGATGGAGAGTATAGAGCTGGTCCAGTGTTCCACGGCCGGGACAAAACCACACTGCTCCTCTTGAATCCGAGATTCGACCATCGGCCGTAGCCTCCTCTCCAGTACCTTGGAGTAGACCTTACCAGGGAGGCTGAGGAGTGTGATCCCACGATAATTGGAACACACCCTCCGGTCCCCCTTCTTGTAGAGAGGGACCACCACCCCGGTCTGCCACCCCGATTGCCTTGCGATATTGCAGAGACTTGTCAGCCA